TGGATAATGTTTATCCTTTATTTTTCTATGGAAGCATTTGGGTTGTTCTTTAAAAAAAAGCTATTGCAGCTGAATGTGAAGCTGTTTAAAAAAAGGGCTGATTTCTTCCATCCTGTGCGAGGAAGACACACAAAAGCATTTATTTTTATAGCCAGATTGGCTTTAATTTTACAGCATTTAACCCCCAAATGGTGGCCTGGATTCTCAACTGGGCGTCAGGTACTTGGTGACCCCTTGAGACTCGTTGGGATGTGGGGGAGAAGGAATTTTGGGGAGGAGCACCCCAAAATACCTGGTCACTTTGTTGGGATTGGGGGGGGTGGGAAAGGGGAAAACTCGATTCCATTTTTTTATTTTACAAGGAGACTCTTTAAGATGCAGATTTCTAAAGTACTTATTTTGCAGACACTCTTTATTATTAAAGGTACATTTTTACGGCGTGTTGACAGCTGAACAACCTTCATCCTCCCTTAATTTATTCCCAGTTTTCTCACTAAAGCCCTGACCCTGCTGCCAGCAGCCACCCTGGGCTCCAGGTGGGTGCATGGAGCTTCTCTGCTCCCGGGAAAAGGAGGGGGGAACCTGGAGCTTCTGTTTACAGTTTGACCCCTGAGTCTCAGGGGTCACATCCTGACAGCTCCAAACCAGCAGCAGAAACCTTGGGAAAACCTTAGGGAAGAACCAAAGCCACCTCCCAGCCTGTGTTTGATGAGGACCTGCTGCTCATCTCTGTTGGGGAGGGGGAGAAAACCCCACCCTGGGGAGGTTCCTCCTGCCCTGGGTTTGGTTTTTCCTGCTCTGGGAATGCTGAGCTTTGTGGCAGCCCTGCTCCTCCTGGGAAAGGCTCTTCCAAACCAAAATCCGCCCCCTGGGTGATCCAGGAGGGATTGGAGGAGCCTGGATGTGTAAATAGAAGTTGCAGGGCGCCAGCTGGTTCATCTCCACCCTCCCTGGGTCTTGCCCTGCCAGCAGCAGCGTCACTGCCGTGTTCTTCACCCTGGGATGTGGCTTTGGGAGCAACTTTAGGGCTGGGATGTGTCCCTGGAGTGTCCCACCAGCCACTTGTGTTCCTTGGGATGACACTAATCCCATCTAATCCCTCTGTGCTCTGTTCTGAGGTTTTTTTTGGAGAAGGTAAATCCAAGAGCTCCTCTCTGTGCCTTGTGTAAATGAACCACTGGTGGTGCAATGAGCTTTCCTTGACGATGCTTTATTTTTTTCGGCCTTAAACTGAACTAATCACTGTGTCAAACTCACCCTGTGTCTTAAAAGTGGGGAAGTTCAGCTTGAGGCCCCTGGTTTTGCACTGAGTGTTTCCGTGGAGGTGGGATTTTGGGGTCACTTGAGTGCTAAAGAGGCAAACTGTAGCATCATGTGGGTGATTGGCAGCTTTTAGTGCCAGTTCAGGAGCCAAACGTGGAGGGGTTGGTCCCTCTTGCATCATCCCCCTTCCTCTGGCTGCTGCTTTAATATTTCTGCCTTCACCTTTGGTGTCCTGGGAGAGCCTCATCTCCTGCTTGGAGTGCTGGGACACAAAGCCTGGATTTGCCTGTGGAGAAGTTGGGATGTTGGTTGAGTTTTGTTTTTTTTTGCCAGCTGAGCATCTCCCTGGGCAGGGGAGAGCGTGGGAACCTCCCGAGTGCTGAGCGTGAATATTTAATAATTATCAACAAATAATTATTAATTAGACCCCATTTTTTTTTGAGGGGGGGAGTTTGCTCTTCCTCGAGCTGGGAGTGGATAAGGAGCACCTGGACATTTATCAAGCTCTCCCTGCCTTTCTGCCTCTCCCCCCAAACCAGCCCAGCTGGTGTAATAATAATTCCAGAGGTCTCTTTTCCTGAGGCTGGATCCCCCTTCCTCCCTTCTTTTTGCATTTGAAAGCTGAGCTTTTTTTTTTTGAGCCTGAAGTTTTCTTTCAGCCTGTGGTCTGTGAAACACCTGCTGCTGCTGCTGCTGCTTCTTCCTCTGCCAGAAAAAAAAACGCACATCACTCGTTGTTTGAGGGGGAGGATGAGGAACTTCGCAGTTCTTAAGTTGTATTGTTTATTGTTGTTTGGTTGGTTTGTTTTTTTTTTTCGTGTGTGTGTTTTGTTTTTCTTTCTTTTGCCGAGGCAAAAAGAGAAAAAGTGTTCTCTTCGATTGTATTTAACAATGCAGGAGTTTTTTTGTTTTCTTTTTTTTTTGTGAAATGCTGCTACAGTTGTATCACTGGAGCTCGAGGAAATAAAATATCCTGATTTTTGTGCTGCTGGGCTCGTGTTTTGAGGCAGAGGGGGGGGGTTTCTTTGGGAGCTGAGGGTGGGGAAGGCTCTCTGGCAGGTTGATCCCTGAGGGAATGGTGCCTTCTAGTGTTGCCGGAGCACTTTGGCAGGCTCGGCTCCTCCATCCCTCGCGTCATCAGCAGGGGAGGAAAATCCTTCGGGGAGGGGTTTTCCAGCCTGGCAGGAGCTGCCAACTCTTCCCCTGAAGGGCTCACCCTCCTCTAGGAGCCGCTGGAGAGTTTTGGAACACGTTCCTCCTCCTGGCAAGGAATCGCTGCTGGGATTCCCAAACCGAGCCCACACACTTGTAGATTGTTCAGCAAATTCCCAAATCGCAGGTTTTCTTTTCCTCTCTTCTCTCTTGGATGAAGTGAAGGCCCTGGGGAGCTGCATTTGCTGAGGTTTCGCTTGTTTTCCCGCAGAATTTGAAGGGAAAACCCCAGAAGACTGGAATAGAAAGGGAAAATAAACCACATTTCTTGGTGCAGGGAGGAAGAGTCCCCTGGGAACTGGGCTGAGCAGCATCCCGAGAATCTGAGGGATAAACCTCCCCCTGGGGCCAATGGGGGGCTTTAAAGGGGGGGGGGGGAAATGGGAATTTTANTTGCAGCTGAATGTGAAGCTGTTTAAAAAAAGGGCTGATTTCTTCCATCCTGTGCGAGGAAGACACACAAAAGCATTTATTTTTATAGCCAGATTGGCTTTAATTTTACAGCATTTAACCCCCAAATGGTGGCCTGGATTCTCAACTGGGCGTCAGGTACTTGGTGACCCCTTGAGACTCGTTGGGATGGGGGGGAGAAGGAATTTTGGGGAGGAGCACCCCAAAATACCTGGTCACTTTGTTGGGATTGAGGGGGGGGTGGGAAAGGGGAAAACTCGATTCCATTTTTTTATTTTACAAGGAGACTCTTTAAGATGCAGATTTCTAAAGTACTTATTTTGCAGACAACTCTTTATTATTAAAGGTACATTTTTACGGCGTGTTGACAGCTGAACAACCTTCATCCTCCCTTAATTTATTCCCAGTTTTCTCACTAAAGCCCTGACCCTGCTGCCAGCAGCCACCCTGGGCTCCAGGTGGGTGCGTGGAGCTTCTCTGCTCCCGGGAAAAGGAGGGGGGAACCTGGAGCTTCTGTTTACAGTTTGACCCCTGAGTCTCAGGGGTCACATCCTGGCAGCTCCAAACCAGCAGCAGAAACCTTGGGAAAAACCTTAGGGAAGAACCAAAGCCACCTCCCAGCCTGTGTTTGATGAGGACCTGCTGCTCATCTCTGTTGAGGAGGGGGAGAAAACCCCACCCTGGGGAGGTTCCTCCTGCCCTGGGAATGCTGAGCTTTGTGGCAGCCCTGCTCCTCCTGGGAAAGGCTCTTCCAAACCAAAATCCGCCCCCTGGGTGATCCAGGAGGGATTGGAGGAGCCTGGATGTGTAAATAGAAGTTGCAGGGCGCCAGCTGGTTCATCTCCACCCTCCCTGGGTCTTGCCCTACCAGCAGCAGCGTCACTGCCGTGTTCTTCACCCTGGGATGTGGCTTTGGGAGCAACTTTTAGGGCTGGGATGTGTCCCTGGAGTGTCCCACCAGCCAGTTGTGTTCCTTGGGATGACACTAATCCCATCTAATCCCTCTGTGCTCTGTTCTGAGTTTTTTTTTGGAGAAGGTAAATCCAAGAGCTCCTCTCTGTGCCTTGTGTAAATGAACCACTGGTGGTGAAATGAGCTTTTCTTGACGATGCTTTATTTTTTTCGGCCTTAAACTGAACTAATCACTGTGTCAAACTCACCCTGTGTCTTAAAAGTGGGGAAGTTCAGCTTGAGGCGCCTGGTTTTGCACTGAGTGTTTCCGTGGAGGTGGGATTTTGGGGTCACTTGAGTGCTAAAGAGGCAAACTGTAGCATCATGTGGGTGATTGGCAGCTTTTAGTGCCAGTTCAGGAGCCAAACGTGGAGGGGTTGGTCCCTCCTGCATCATCCCCCTTCCTCTGGCTGCTGCTTTAATATTTCTGCCTTCACCTTTGGTG